ATTAATGTTAATGACATATTGCCCTTACAGAGGTAACACTAACAATTTATTTCCCTTTTCACCAAAACTTTTGAGTAAGACAAATCTATCGGGGTATCTATTTACATTACAGACTGCCTGGAGTGAATTCATTCCCTTAACTCACGTTTTAAAACAACGAAAATGAAATCATTTTACCCTAAAGAATAATGCCTTCTGCTGTCACAAATATCTTTGAATTCAAAGGGAAAAGTTCATGTAAAGAGAACGCCTCCGCTTTCCCATTAAGGCTTCAAGATACAACCTGAGGGAAACCAGTAGGTGGGCTAGGAAGAATGGAAGATACTAACTCTAATGGAAGAGTTGTTTTTTGGGGGGGAAGGGAGGTGGTCTCCAATTTGGTCTAGTGTCTCTTGAGCTAACAGTAAGAATGAGAGATCATAATTTTAGAATTCTACAACTAATGAGGCTAAAAGAGACCCTGCAGTGAGATATGATTGAGTTTGCGTACCTGGTAAATTTTACAGCTAAAATAACAACAGAGAGGTGAAGAGACCTCTTAAAAGAAAGGCCACAAAGGGATCCAAGTTTCCCAACTTGAAGTTGCTTCTGCCTTCCTCCAGGTTCCAGTACCACACCCAGGAGGGAGGGTAATGCAAGTCCCATTAGAAACAATGTTTGACTGCTACATGGTGGGACAGCTATTCCACCAGCACGGATGCTTTCACAGAGATTCTTTAGGATAGGAGGACAGAAAGGAATTATAGGAATTAATAATAGGAGTCATCCTACTGCTGAGGATAATTCTATCAGCAATATCTTCACTATATAACTTCATATATTTTATGCTCATTTGTATCTTATCCTCAAAGAATCTGCACTGAAAATGTGGACAAAATGAAAGACTTAAGAACATTTTTGGATTTTAAAGACAATGTATTTGTGGATAGGTGAAGCATTTAAAATACGAATTCTGGCCAGGCCTGGGGGCTCACGCCTGCAATCCCAGCACTTTGGGAGGCTGAGGTGGGAGGATCGCTTAAACCCACGAGTTTGAGATTAGCCTGGACAACATAGTAAGATCTCATCTCTACAAAAATAAAATAAAATACAAAAATTAACCAGGTATGGTGGTGTGTGCCTATAGTCATAGCTTCCTGGGAGGCTGAGACAGAAGGATTGTTAGAATCCAGGAGTTCAAGGCCCTGCAGTGAGATATGACTGAACTACTGTGCTCCAGCCTGGGTTACAGAGTGAGACTCCATCTCTAATAAAGAAATAATTATTACCAGATATTTTGTAGCTAACACATTAATGGCTACTGGTCATTAAAATGCATTTTTAATTTAGTAGTATCTTTTTTTTCTCCTACCTGATTTATTCATTCAACAAGCATGTCTTGAACAACTAGTACATGCATGTTAGGACCATACACACAGGTGGGAGTGAAAGACACGGAGACAATTAAGTATGTTCAGTGCACACATGTATAATGCAAGGGGAGAGACAGAGACAGAGAGACAGAGAGAAAGAGAGAGAGAGAGAGAGAGAGAGAGGTAGGGGGAAGAAAGGCTAAGAAGAAGAAAGATACCAAGGAAAGTGACATTTGAGGTTGGGGTCAAATGTAGAAGATCCTGAATGCTACACTAGAGATGTGACCCTTCTTCAGTAGGTGACAGATTTCTGAGCAAGAAATGGCAAAATTCAGGGGAATGTGTGCAGGAGAGTGGAGCAACTAAAGATAGCAACAGTGATTCAGAAGTTATGGCGATAGTCTAGTTAATGAACTATTTCTAGGACTAGGGTGGTGGTGGAGAGAATGGAAAGCCTGTGATAGCTAAGTGATCTATAAGTATGTCTGATTGACAGAGAAGTGGAATAAACTCCCTCCATTACTCAGAGCCGCTCTAAACCTAGTAAGTATCGCTGCTGTCATATGAGAACACAAAGTACTTATGGAGGTATAATTTAACTCTCACGGTGGCCAAGGAAAGGGGTCTTTAGGCTTTACATAACACTATATCCATCTCAAAAGAATACCTTTCCATCAGAAAAGAAAAAAAGTGACGTCTGTGTCCTAACCTATCCTCATTAGGAACTACCTACTGAGAAAACTGCTCATATAAGAGGAGAAAAAGGGTCAAATTAGAAAGTTATCACTTATAAAATTTCAGACTGCATTCATGTGGAATAATTTATACTTTGCCAAGCTGTTTCCTTCTTATTTTCTCATTTTCCCTTAAGTAGTCCTTGAAGTATGAAAGGTAAGAATGACCGGCTCCATTTAATAGATGAGAGAGTTCATATTTGCCCATAGGTACATGAGTTACAAGGACTGGCATCACCCAACTCCCTTTATAGCACTCCTACCATTGCATCTTGAAATCCTATTGCTAAATGGTCAGTTAAAGGAAAGTGGTCTGAACTTTATAGGACTTAAAATAGACACTGCTTGGATAAGATATGGGTGCTGTGGAAACCCAGCCAGAGATGCAGATAAAGGCTGCCCGGAAAATGTCTTCCACCAGATGAAACACTATCCAGAGCCCAGCTGGGAATTCCATTGCAGCTTTGGGTTTAGGAACTGTTTATTTTATGTCTTGGCTCAAACCTTTCATTTCTGTCCTTGTCTCTTTTTGTCTTCTCTCTCTCTCTCTCTTCCTGGTGGTTGTAGTCCCACTCTAAATATACACGTCTCTCCATCTAATACCACCATCCAAAAATAAGCCTCACTACCAGAATAAGCTTAGCCTCCTGCAGTTGACACAATTTAAAACTGATATGAAAAGAACATATAATCGGTCTTTGATTCATTTACCCTGCATATTAAAGACCCAGAAATAAAATAATCACAGTTCATGGAAAAAAAATTAATGCAAAATGAGAGGCTCTTTCAAGTGGCATTTTCAAGCACAGTTTTTGTGGTGGGCTTATGTAATCAGACATAATTGTCTGCATATGTTTGGTTACACTATTTCAGAAATTATTCCCAGCCCATCAGATGATGTCAGAGGGGTCAGTGCTGACCCCCCCCCCCCCGAGTCTGCTGCTGTCATCTGTGCTACCCAATTAGGAAAGAAAGATGCCAAATAGCAGAAGTTTCAGCCCCATTTCCTGCCCAATCACGTGGACTTTCTTCAGTCCCCTTTTTGAGTATGTCCATATTCTTATCTCCAAACTCCTCTACTTTCCGCATATTCCTCTCTTCCACTTACGCACAGAGCAAGGTCTTCTCTGGAAAAATTTCTCTTCCATTTCAAAAAGATTCAGAAGATATAAATGCATGTGTGCTTAAACCTGCACACACAGACAGACCAAAGCACCTTCATTCATTTGGTATCCATTTTGAGAATACACTTTCCCATGATGGTTTCTGCATTTTTTTTTAAAGCAGACTGCCCAGCAAGTTGACCATTAATACAGCAGTAATAATTAGTGTTGTTAACATAAGCACAAGAATGGGAAGAGTTCCTCTGTTCTAAAAATCCTTCCTAGAAAATGACATGATTGCTTCGAGTATATTTAACAGGGTTAACTTTGACTTCCCTGTTTCCCTTCCAGAGAAGAACTCGACAAATATTATATACATTCAGTGAGGATTCTGCATGAAGAAGGTAAAAAATAAAGAATCCCTAGTATAAGTGACATTAAAAGACACAAGACAATTCCAGTTGATCTGGAGCTTAACTCCCTCCTACAACATCCTTCCAAATCATGTTTTAACTATCCAATGATGGGGAATTCTTGATGTCTAAAGGCAGTCAGTCCCTTTGTTGGAGGCCTATGATGGTGAGAAAGGCCCATCAAGTGTGAATGTGAAATCTGTTTCTCTGAATCCTCTACTCAGTGGTCTTATCCTACTCCTTCAGCTCATTCTTGATGAATCCAGTCTCTCTCAGATGATGGCATGTCTATAACTATCATATATCATTAGAATCTTCTCCTTTATGAAGTTAGAACTCCTAATAATTTCAACGATTCCTCATCTGATCTTAGGAATAGTTGGTATTCTCTTGATTCTTCACCCACTTGGCCAGAATCATGTATGACTTGATAAATGTAGAGATGAAGGGTCATCACCTCCTTCATTGCAGATATTATACCTCCATTAGTAAAGACTAAGATTATATTACACGCCTACTTTTCTTTCCTTCCATCCCTAATTTCCTTCCATCATAACAATAGGAAGAAACAATGAAAAATGATCACCACCAACCAACCATCATTTTCTTCAGGGCCAACAGTTCTACAGGAGTTTCTTGTGACCTCCAGAAGTCCAGGAATCACCCCGATCTAAAAAACAGCCTTCTTTTCCAGGCTGCCCTCTTGTCCCAGCTTGCTGTCACCGCTGCTGAGATAGCAGACGATTGATCTGAGAAATCAAGTTGGATTGCTGTCCCAAATCTACACTCGGTTCTCCTTGTGTCTGTCTGATCGATTTCACTCTGTGCGACATAGCTTGTCGCTATGAATTTTCATGCTAGTCAGGAGCCGCCAGCGCACCCAAGAACAAGTAGAAGATGGTCTGTGCCCCTCCTTGTCCTTTCAAGATACCCAGCCTCTGTGTTAATTTTTTTTTAATCGCCCATAGACAGATTGGGAAAAGATAGGTTTTTGTTTTTTTTTTCCATACCCCAGACCTGGATGCAATGGATTTTGGCTACTGGTTTTCTTCCCTAGGTTCCCAGGCCCCAGTTTGTGGTGACATTTCCTACTGCTGTTGTACTAGGTGTCACCTGTTTAGCAGCTCCTCTAGCTGAACGCATGTGGCCGCAGGTGCCATGCAAACACTGATTGCGTCTGACAGCCCTAGACGCCAGCTGCCTGCATGAAGCCTGCCCAATCACCACTTTTTTTGTGGGTAGAATGCTGCCGATGGCATGACCGATACAGAAACAAGAAACTAGGTGACCGTAAAGCTAAGACAAGTCCTACTAAGTGGCATTCTGGGCCCTATGGCTTTGAAATAATTGGTAGTGAAAGAATAAAAACAAAGGGTGGGGGGAGCTTTGTTTTCTTACACTGATGCCCTGCGGACTGTACATCTGACTGGCTGCGAGTCCGTCACTGTATCCTCCTGTCTGGCTGATAACATGGCGAAGGGTATCCACCTAAACAGACGAATAACAGAGAGGAATTTAGTCAGAGACATGCAGGGAAAGGAAGGCACATCATCATCAAACAGGCCGCCATCGGGACGTATCATATTAATGCAATCATACTGAAGACAGTCTTCCTGGGAAAGCATCCATTAGGAGGCGGCTAGACCTCCACGACAGGTCAAATCCATGATCAGCTTTGAGTTCAGTAGCAAGGTAGTTAAATGGTAAACGCAAACTGGGATTCCTGACATTGAAGTGAAGGCACCAATGCTGCATGAGAGGTAGGGGTTGGGATGACGGAGGGGCCTGGCATAGAGAAAGTGAAGGAATGGTCGCTTCTGTTTTTCTTTTCTATAGATCTTATAGATAGCTTCTCCTTTGCTGGGTATCTTATAAAAGCGAAGGTTCTCTTGAGAAGAGATTTGGGTAGCCATCTCACAGAGAAAGTAGCATGTGACTAAGACCCTGTTGTTTTGAGAACTTAAAGGACGGTCAGCTTAGTCACTTGACCAAAGTCTGACCACCTCACCTCAAACTTGCTTTCAGCAATGTTTCCTGAGCCAGGGGTTGCATCACTGACCAGTTGGTCCGTTCCAGGTATGTAAGACTTCTTGTCCCACATGCGGGGTGGGAAATAGGATTGACATGGCTCAGAACTTCCCTAGTCATCCTAACCCAGAGCACACTGCTTTACCCTCTCACATCACATTTCACCCTGAGATGGTAGTATGGCCTCCTGAGGTACTGTGAAGGCAAGCTGCTGACTCAGGGCCCTGAGCTTTGATACTACATGACTTGATTTTTTCTGTACACACATCACCAGAATCCCAAGTTCTTGACTTCATGGCTGACTAAGAAGATGAGTTCAGTCAACCTGGTTGGGTGTTTTTAAAGTTTCATATGAAAACATGACATTGTAATGCATTTGCCTATTCATTAATTACCTCTTTATTTGGCAAATATTGAGCGTGGGAAACCAACAAATGAGAGGGAAACCTGGAAGTGGAGACAATGGCCTTCTTAGCTCCTCTGCTCTTTCCCTTTGGTGAATGAAGAATATGCTGGATACACTTGCCTGCCGTGCCTGGGTCACCTCACCCTGTGCTCACTGCTCCTTTCCTGCCTTCCTGGTGTGACTGACAAGCCAGAGCCAAATGCATTCACAAAGTGTGGACAAGATTCCCCATGACAATGGTTGTCTTTGTTTTGTTTTGATTTGGTTGTTGGTAAGGTTTTGGTTCTGATCTCTTTTCTCTCTTTCTAATCTCTCTCTTTCTCTGGACAGAAGCAGGAAGTGCCAATACGACTGAGGGCTCTTGGACTCTAATGCATTCACCTGGCGGCATATTGGCTGGGTCCCTACCTGTGATTGCACGTTGGCTCCAACCTGGGCCCCTTGGTAAGAATCCCCATTGAGTGACTGCACGCTCATGAACAAATCTCCAGAGTTTGACATGTTAAAAGAACTGGAAGAACCTGGAAAGGAAAGAGTGAGGCACCTGAATCACAGAAAGGAAAAGGCTCAACCCCCGCATCTAAACAGCCAAGAGGAAGAATGACATGCAAAGCAACCCCCCAAATAAAAACTAAAATAAAAAATAACATCCACAGAGTCTGGTTAGTAGCATGAAGAACAGAGCAAGCGGTAAAGGGTGCATATTGTTTATGGGATGTGAGATCACACCTTCCTACAAGTCACCAACAGGATGTGTCCCTTTAGCAACTTCAAGCTGAGAAAGGGAACATTTATTCTCTCAACTGACTCCATTTGGATTGCAGTCTCCAGACCTAAGATCTCTCTTCTATGCCTCTAGAATTCTAGGGTTGGCCAGAGGACCACAAGATAGGGACTATGGGTTAATCAGTGGTAATTCTGCCACCATGATGGAGCACATAAGCTATCCAGCTGGATTCTAAACATGATATTGCAAAACCTGTCTACTTTCCCACACACCTGGGAGCGAGTGTGGCACCTAGGAGGAAGCGCAGGAAGCAATGTCACACACTAGGGCTGGCTCTAGGATATGGGTCTACTGATATTCTTAATTTCCAGAAAGAAGGTGAAGGTCCTTGCTGGGTGGCAAATAGCCCAGGAAACCTTGATGACTGCAAGAGTATGTGGGAGTGGTCTGCTCTTCCCTGCCACCTGATAGCATAGAAGAAGACGAGCAAAATAAATGGACCAGGAATTCGCAAACATGCATAAAATATGAAGTGCTGTTAATAATAACAACAACAACAATAATAGTAATAATAATAAAGTGGGCCTCAAGAGATAGAGGCATCATCCAGAGAGTCAGCCCTTAGGCCTATCCTGGCACCACCCAGGTTTCCCTGGTTTCACTGTAGTTAAACCTAGTCAACCCTCAACCTAAATATAAGAGCTTACAAAAGCTTAATATTATTCTGAAGTCATCGTGCAGCTCAGCGCATTAAGAAAGAAAGCTCAACGTGCAAGGTTTGGTTAAAACATGACGTTAGCCTGGAAAAGGAGAGATCTTAGGGACCCAGGTCAGTTGCACTTTATTATCTCCAACCCTATATTGCTCCAATTGTGCTCTTGCCCTCATATTCTGAGACAGCCATCATCAGTGTGGAATCGCCCAACAGTGATTCATGCCTCAGCTCTGACACTGTTCTTTTCTCCCAAGGTAGGGATCTGACTTCTCCTAAAGGCTTTCCTGCCTCAAGTGAAGCTAAGTAGAAGAGAAGGCTTTTTGTCCTCCCCATAAAAGGACCACCTAACAAGTGATGAATTCTAAATTCTGACATGATGCTCTATCATCTACCATCCATCCATCTCTCTCTCTCTCTCTCTCTCTCTCTCTCTCTCATCTATCTATCAATTATCCATTGGATCTATCTATACTATCCACAGTAACTTCATACTTCAAAGGCAAGAGCCATTTAGAGGAATCATATAATTTATAAACTTGGGGACAACACCACATTAAAAAAACAGCAAAAAAACTCCATTTTTCTTTGTTCTGTGTGATGTTCATCCAAACGCAAAACAAACAAACAAACAAAAAAACCTAGCTATTTTGCTACATCAACTGATCCTCCACCTAACTCCCTTCTTATTCTCTCTTTTACATGAAAAAGGAAATCTTCCTCCCAGTACTGGAGGAGGACTCAGGCATCAACCAAAGGACTGTGCCATCCCCATAGCTCTGCAACATGTCTTATCTGACCTACATTGCTCTGTTTAGCTTATCTGAAAGGAATTGGAAGAGTTGGGTCATAGCAGAACAGGCATAAGGTCTGATCAGGTGTGGCTCACACCCAGTCAAAGGGATGAAGCCTTCTATCAATGTGGGACACATCTTTGAAAATGTCTTCCTGAACGTATGGATGAAGCAATTTGTAACCCAGATCACATTCTCCTATGTAGATATATAAAACCCAGGCCTCTATACACTAGTTACATCTCTCTCAAATCTTTTTTGTAACCACAGAGAAATAGCCTAAATAGTAAAAGTAATTTTGCAATGTGTTACATGTTCACATTTAGACATCATCAGAACTAAGAAAAGTCAGTTCCAGGAATCCAAATTATAATTGTTTATATGAAGGGGAACCCAAAAAACTGGAATTATTTTGGGGGGAGCAAGCCCCTTGTCATAGAGGCTTCCCCTGCTAGGTACGTGTTCTAGGAAACCACTGGCATCAGTGTACCAGTTAGTGTTGTTGTGAGGGGCTGCGTTCAGCTTCAGTGAATTTTGAGGGGGAAGATTCTTTCAATGTGTTTGCCCATTTGATGATTGATTATTTACAAGTACACCAGCTCACACTGTGCTGAGTGATCAGCAATTTTTGACCCAAAATGGCTTGACTCCCATGTCCCACCCTCCCTATTGACTCAGTCTTATCCTAAGCAACTTTTTTTGTTTTCCGGGAAGAAAACAGTCCTTAAAGGGAAACATTTTGCCAGTGTGGAAGAGGTGAAACAAAAAATGGCAGAGGCACTGAAAGGCATCAAAATTGACGAATTCGAAAATTGTTGAGAAGGGGAAAAAGTATCTCAATAGGTGTATTGCATCAAACAAAGAGTACATTGAAGGTAACTGAAGTTTAAACATGTAAGAATAAATACACCATTTTAATAAATATTGTTATTTGAGGTCCCCCACGTATGTTATCTGCTTTTTTTTTCCCCCCGAGAGTATTCAGTTTGAAGTCCAGGTATTTTACTTCTCTCCCAATCAAATATCATGTTATAAATGTGTGCACTATATGCCTGGCTGATGATTTTTGGAAATTAGCACACAAACTTAGAAATGGAAGAAACTCCCAAAGGGCTACATGATGCCCTGTAACATGGCATCCATAGACCATGAAGGCATGGAATGTGCCATTTACAAGATACACACTGCAATTGACACACATGATTTAAAAAATATATGTACATAGATAAATTGTAAATATGTCTGGCTGCCTAATGTACACAGATAAATATGCGCATATAAATGTACTTCATGTACAAGTGCATTTGTATCAGAGCAGTAATTGCAGAAACAGTCCCTTGTGCTCTTGGCTGTGCTATTTCAGCATTTTATTATCTCTGTACACCCATGTATAACACTATATGGCTTCTGACTGTCTGATAAGTATCTAGAAGCAGTGATTGTGCTGAGGGAAGAAACCAGGTGTCACTAACACACAATGAAGCAGACAGACATCCACAACAAAATCTAAACTATGAGTGAAGATCATGTTCTTTACCCAACATCAGAAGTTGGAAAGAACTTATCATGGAGCAATAACCTCCTCAGAAGTACATGGACCATAGACAAACAGTGAATGGACTCTCTTGGAGATGCTGTGACATTTTCAAAGAGCTAAAACAGGATTATTTGGATTGTTGGGAAGGTCCTTCAGAAGTAATCAGCAATTGGCAGGAAGCACATTTTAAGATATGCTTGTCAGCTAAAAGGTTGGCTTGGGAAGGGAGGCAAGAAGCTCATTTAAATTGCCACCCAAACTTTTGTGGCATGTACAGTGCTAAGTTTGTGATCAACTAGACAGAGAAGAAATAACGGGTGACTTATGATTCTAGTGCATTTGCTTAGTCAAACATCATAATGTGGTAATGTGTTAACATCCATTTTCATAACACAATTTCCTGAAAATTGCATTTCTATTCTAAAGACTTTTCAGGAGACTTAAATTTGTTCAAGAAAACACAAGAAAACAAAAAGAAAAAAATCAATAACTTTATAATCCAAAAGACAAAATAATGATAAAATCTAAACCTAGAGCAGAGTTTTTCAACCTAGTACTGTTTGACATTTTGGGTTGAATAAATCATCTTTGTTGTGGGGTTTTGCAGAATGGTCACCCACATCCCTGGCTTCTATTCAATAGAAGCACCCGCCTTCCAAAATTGTGACAACCAAAAATGTCCCCAGATATTGCCAAATGTCCCCATGGGGTACAAATCCATCCCTAGTTGAGAACCAATGACCTAGATCAAGAATGAATTTACTTTTTCCTCTTAAGGAACTCAAAGCATTGAAAAGTATTAGCTCAGTATTTCTCACAGCATTTTATGAAGTAAATTGCCCCAATTTCTGTAGTTCAGAAATCAAGGCTTCAGAGACGGTATGTGGTCAGCCTCATTAGCTTCGACTCTCATTCCATTTGGTGGCTCAAAGGCTCGACCTCCTCTTTTGAACGTAAGCTTAATTATGTCTCATTCTTGCATCTCCATTTTCCCTTCTGAATTCCAAAATTCACTTTTACTTTCTTCTTGGGACAAAGCAAAAGAGTAAAAGGCTTTCTGGTTCAACAAAATCCTTCAATGGGTATGCATGTCAAGGTTCTAGAGCTCTGATTCCAGGAGAAAATGTTTTCATTTTCCACTTAAAAATAAAGAGGAGAAACACAGAAAGAAAGAATATGAGAGAAAACATCAATAGGATAATTTTTTTCCCTGGATTTAAAAAAACAAAATTATAAGGGTTGCTGTAGATTTGCTAAAATATCAGTCAACCTCTCTGGATGAATGAACTCCTCCCCAGTAGTGTGTACTATAGAAAAACTTCACTTCCCGGGCAATCCCTTCGGGTTCCCTCCCACTGTGGGAGCTTTTCCATCCTCAATAAATCCTGCTTTCTCAAAAAGAAAAGAAAAGAAAGAAAGAAAAAGAAAAACTTATTGCAGGAAACGAGGGTTCAGGGTCTTGATATGATAACCTTCCACCAATCCACAAAACGCCAAATCTTCTATTAGCAGTATCATAAGATTATATGCTAAGGGTTTGCCATTGACTAAAACAGGACAAGAGGAAGAAATTTTATAGCTAAATTTGCTCTTGTCCTTGACATATACAGCAAAGCAAAAGAATTCAAATCTGGGGGTCCCGAACCTCAATAACCCTGTGACCTCTTAGCTAGTCACAGAACCTGATAAAATATCAATGCTGACACTACGCCACATTAAACATCTATAACACACAAGTCAATTTCTTGGATTCTTCTTGGATTGTTAAAATGTTCTTCAGAAGATTGTCCAAACTTTTAGGATCGGCCCCATTTTTCTGAAGTTTTATTCTTGCTTCTACAATATAATCAAATAGAAAATTGAGACTTTATCATTCTAGGTCACTCAGAAGAATTATGAATACAGGGCTTTAACTATTGTTTCAACTGGTCCTCATTTTTACTTTCTTTTTTCAAAACTTAGTTCCTCTTTGCTTCATCCATTTTGCCCAGCTCTGCTGATGTAAACCATGAAGCATGCTGAATGTCTCTGAATGTTTGCTAGCCCTCAGGGTCCTTAATGATTTTTATAACTTATGCTTAAGGGAACAGGGGACAAGGCATCTATCAACAAATAGGAATACTTAGAAGTGGCCTAAGTAAAGATACTGAAGCGCTGCTCTCCATACAGAAGCCTCTAGAGGGAGGAAGATTTACTTGCAAAGTATCTTCCTTGCAGTAGAAACGAGTATGTATATTTCGTAAAGCTCTGGGGGAAAACAAAACAAAACAAAACAAAATAAAACTTCTGCTTCAATATTGAGGATATAAAAAATTCCCGGGTTCCTAAACTCTAGACTCCAAACTCTGCCAAAATATACTTTCATATAGTAACCTCTTATTTAAAACTTGTTATTTCAATTATCATTTATCCTTTGAGATTATTGAAAAGTCAGCACACAACATAATAAATACCCTGTGAAAAGTTTGAACATTTTAAAGTTTTCACTTTATGTAATTTAGTTTGATTGAGAGTAGAAGAAAATATAGGAAAGTCCATTTATAGCGTCTTCTGTTAAAACATTTATCATTTATAATTCCATGCTATTGCACATGTACAATACTATTTTGTCTCTACTTTAGAGAAAGCACTACAAAGGGGTTCCTCCACATATTATTTCCAATAACTTAGGCACAACTGGAAGGCTTAGCTCAAATTTTCCATAATAATTTACTTTGTGCTCAGAATAGTCACGTGAAGTTTAAGCCACCAGAAAAATTATTTGGAAAACTGTAATCATAGACTGACATTCCATGAGAGCCAACGTAATTCTTAAACACAGAGTAGGGGGTTAAAATGCTTACTTTTCTCTTTTTAAGCGCTTTAGCAGAGAATAAATAGATTTAGTAATGAAGAGAGTCCACAGGGTCCTTCTAAGAACTAGTCATAAATCATGTTAAGCCATCTGCGATGCAGATATATCAGGGACAGGAAAAAGTCATTTTGATATCTGTTTTGCATTATGATAACCTTTGCAGGAGTGTTGAGTGCGTTTTTGCTAATGCTGACAGAATTGTACTTCTTACAAAGAAACAAGTGAAAATGTCTGCCTAAAAGTACAATTCAGCTTGTATTGTTGGGTCTGAAATGCTTACTAACTGACCAGATGGAGGAGAGGGAAATTCTGTGGTTATTGAGCCTGTTAGCCTTGATCCTTTGTCAACCACACCATGATGGGGGAAGAAGAAGACAAAAAAACTTCAAAAAGCAAATATGTTCCTCATCATAAATCTATAGTGCTGGGAAAAGTAAAATTGGATTGAATTCTACATTGTCTTACCAAATCCATGCTTAAAAAAACCCAAGTCACTCTTCATTCATGGTTCCACTTAAATCCACGAAGGCCATGATAGTATAGACCAGAGACTTGAAGAACCTTATGATAACAAATTAATGCATCCAGAAGCTCATGGAAGATGTCAGTGTGTGGAGCTCTACATCTCCAATGACAAGCCACCACAAGAGAACTTATTTCAATGGACAAACAAGCTTTAGGGTCAAAGGCACCACAAACTCTAAAAACTGTTAGAAATTAGATTTGAAATCATATTGTAACCAAACATATTTAAATATGTAACCCTTTAAAGTTGGAGCCATCAATTTTCTTAGATGTGCACTCCAGTCAAAATCAACACAGCTGGTTCATTATAGGGAAGTATTATAATTTGATACCAAACTTATTTAATGAGAAAATATTTGTTTTTCCTTTATCAAAAAGTACCAACATGCCTTCCATAGCATACAAACACAAAGGTTATATATTATGCATTATTAACTATGTTTTTTACATGTGGAAATTCAAAACTGATGGCATGAGACACACTCAAAATATATTCTTTTAGTCTAAACTCTGAAATTAGTGAAATAGTACATATTCACTAAAATAAAACCTAGAACATAGCATGACTGATACTTATAACAGGAACTTTAGAATCTGAATAATTTAATGACTGGCCATTTCCACTGCAGTTTACATAAAAAGCCCAACAAAATAAAACAATAGAGGGTAACAATTATAAACAATATATAAAAATAACTGTAGCCTGGCTTTGCCTGCCAAAACATTCTAATGATATTTGCTATAAGAGTAAATATTCCTGCATAGAATGCATGTGAATAGGTGGCCCAGGCATTATGTAGTAGGAACAGCAAAATACACAAGGGTAAAACCTTTATATGAAACAGAACAAATGACAGAATTCTATCAGACTATCTCTAAGTTCTAAGTCTAACTTAGTTAAAGGAGAATTTAGGTCTCATCAAAACCAACCAATTTACTTCTGTCTTAGCTTAAATAGACACATTAATGCAAACCTTTAGACAACCTCATCTTGCAAACAGTATAACGCATTGCTGTTTGGAAATGACAGGAGAAACCCAAAGTGGCATCAACAACCAAAAGGATAATTAAATACATAAATCAACCAATCAGAAGCCTAAAGAATTAAAATAAAATCCCAATGTAGGAAAAGCAAGTATAAAAATGGAGAAGGGTCTTCCCAAATCAAAGGAAAAAACTAACCAGCTGAGTTGGGAGTTGAGGGTGAGTTAGCTTGGCTTCCATGGGCTGACACATTGGTAGCAGTGACAGCTGTTTTGGCAGCATAAATATTGGCTTCCTCTTGAAATTTACCTATGTTCTTCTTGTACCGGATTCGCTTATTTCCAAACCAGTTTGATACCTACAAGAAGAAGAAAAATTTAACATTTCATCCTTTAGAAACACTACAAAAGAAAAATAGAGCTAATCAAAGGATGGAGAGGCAGGTGCATTGGTCTTATCTAGTTTAGAACTTGGCAACATCAATAAAAAGATCTGAAGTAAGAGTTTCAAGCAGAGCAACTACATAAAATGAGATTCTCTTGCTTATTATAACTAAAATTTAGCAAAAACACTGATAAACATTTTCCTATAGAGGATCTGCTCATTTAAGCTAGGACCCTTTAAATTTAGAGCAAGCATTTTAAATCTGCTTACCTCTTCAGTTATGACACTAAAGTATACCTAACATTTCTGGAGAAATGCCTCTTTAGCATTTGTCAATGCTAAAGTTGGCTTTGTGTAATTAAAATGCACAGATGTCGAAACATCCATAGAAAATCTATATCAACATATAGGTGCTTTCAATTTCAAATTTTCAGGAGTTAAATAACTTTAATAAGGACTTAGATTCTTAACTGCATTTTACTATGGACCTTATGATCAATATAATTCAGTCCAATAGCTTTCACTGAGTATTTTGTGTAAAGCTTAATATTATCTACATATAGAAAAACCAAAACATACAATTGATTATTCCTCTGAATTCCAGTCTTTACATGTTAAAGCCAGTAAACACAATAAACCTAATTTACTCGTTTGTTAATTTATTTCCATCATGTGGTTCACAGCAGCTGTCTTGGCTTGATTTGGCCTCTGCTCCCTTTATACCAAGACCTCTGCCAGACACAAGTGGAGACACAGTTAAATTTGAGTTTTACCCCCATAATTCTGCCTTGGGGAGGAAAGTTTTATATTCCATATTCTATTTCAGATGTAATTCTGAACTGAAATGTTGTGGTTTTTATATAATTACAAAATAAATTATAAATTTGGTGAGGGAAGGGGGAGTTGAACACATATGTACCACAGTTTACATATAATTCATATTTAATTCCCAACAATGGCATATAAAGAACATTCTTGCAAAACTATACTTATTTTTTAAATGTGTTAACAAAGTCAAAACATCTCATAAGTCTAGCCTTCAAAGTCCTATGCAGCTTATATTGTAGCAGAAATGTCAAACCTTTGTTATAAAAATCAAACTGTACCATTGCAGCATTAGTAAACAAAAAAGAAAAAAATCGATAAGAAAATGCTTTATTTATTGTAAATGCTTGTGTATTTAAAAAAAATAGTTAATAGGAGAAAGAAGAGCAGCACTTCTGGGTACATTTTAAGATCACTATATCTCTGATTTCACTTTAAAATTCATGTTTTCCTTGATAGAACTTTCATTATTCATACGCATCATTCACAATTATGGTTGTGATTAATAAGTGGAATAGGGAGGCCGGGCACAGTGTCGCATGCCTGTAATTTCAACACTTTGGGAGGCTGAGGCGAGAGGACTGCTTGAGTCCAGGAGTTCAAGAGCAGTCTAAGCAACATAGCAAGACCTCATCTCTACAAAAGAATCAAAAAATTAGCCAGGCGTGGAGGCAGTAGCTTGTAGTTCAATCTACTTGGGAGGCTGAGGCGGAAGGATTGCCTGAGCTCAGGAGGTCGCAGCTGCAGTGAGCCATGATTGTGCCCCTGCACTCTAGCCTGGGTGACAGAGTGAGATCTTGACTAAAAAATACATACATAGATACATAAACAAATGAACAAGCAGAATAGGAAGAGAGGGAAACAGGTAAAGAGATTTTTCTCAGGTAACTGCATGACCTGGAAGAAAGAAGAAAAAGATGGATGTAGTATGGGAGGGCTTTTGAGAAGAAAGGAAATATCTGAGGTCCAATTAAATCAGACATATGTCAAAAAAGTGAGACAAAAGAGGGTGAAGAGGGAAGATGCCGTGGGAATAATCCTCTTCTAAATGAGAAGACCTAGGAAGATGCTAGGTTCCTTCAAGCATTTCCTGAATTGTGCACTAGGCAATATCATATGCCCTGGACAATGTATACAGTCACCGTTGTCATTTATTAGCTAATTAGTCAATATTCATGAACTAGGGGCCTAATATGTGTTAGTCCCTAAGGATGTATACATGACAGAGTATGTGACATAAAATACACAAAAAACAGGTTTTATAAGAAGAGTATGATTCACATTTTGAGTGTGTTAATTTTATTTCATATTTCAATAAAGTTTATTTGCGCATCGCTTGTTTTCTTGTGAATTTTGACTCAAGTTACTTTATATATATATGCATTTAGATTCAAAAGTACCTGTGCAGGTTTGTTGCGTAGTTCTATTGCCTATTGGTAGGGTTTGGGCTTCTATTGCGCTCATCACCCAGGTAGTGGCCTTGGTACCCAATGGGTGACTTTTCAACACTTACCCTCTTCCTTCCCTCCCCCCTTTAAGAGTCCCCAATATCTGTTGTTCACATCCTTATGCATGTTATTTTGAAGAACATATGGGCAGAGCCATAGCGAAGTCCCACCTGGATATATGAATGGAAGTATATTTGTAGCTGTGAACATGGAAGGGTGCTCAGATAAAGTGTGTAGAACAGTGCTTCTGAAAGAAAGCGAGAAAGAAATGAAAGAAAGAAAGAAAGAGAAAGAAAAAAGAAAGAAAGAAAGAGGAAGGAAGGAAGGAAAGAAGAAAGAAAAAAAGAAAGAAAGAAAACCGTTCACGGACAGCTTGTTAAAACCGATTTCTAGACACTACCATCGAAGATTTTGATTTGGTGAAAGAACGTGTCCAAGGAGAGCTGCTGCCACAAGATCCTCTAGCAAGCTCCCAGGTGATGGATGCTGCCTTCTGCATATCATATTTCAAGTAACACTAGTATAGAAGGACTCTTGAGGTGGATTTCAGATGGATTTTAGTGTATGAGTATTTTTGTTTTGGGTCATGGAAAGAATCAATAGCTTTTAGTAAATTTCAAAAGAATTTATGACTTTAAAAAATGGTTAAGAACCACTGCATAGGCATGAAGAAGGAATCACAATCATTTTAGGGTAGGTAGAGACAGTAGGTCCTCTAAGAAGACTAAGCAGGTGTGACCCAGGGGGAGGGAGAAAAACCCCAGGAAAAAAAGTAGGGTCAAGGAAGCCAATGTAGGAGAATTTCAAGGGGGACTGGGCATGATAATTAACAAAAAAAGACAAGAATGACACAGCCCAAAAGGTATCTCCTAGATCTGGGAACTAGGAGGGAGATTTAATGAATCATGGGATTCCAACTGACTATGACCAATAGATGGAGCAACTAAGATCCAGAAAGATCCTACAGCTGACTCTTGCCAAAACATGCTCCTCACCTAATGTTCTCTCCATGACACCATGCCATACTGTCTCCCACTGGAGCTTGTTTGGCAGTGGTGGAAGAGCTAGATTGCTGTTGGGAGGGAAGGATGTTAGGGAGGAGGAAGATGGCGTGGCCTTGGCATGGTCAGAAAAAAGGGAAAGGTGACACAGGTCAGGATTTTACCTTTTATCTGGATATAATACAGATTAGCTACAGAAGGGTTTATTTTACCTTTAATATGGATTTGAAATTCTGAATCCCAGACTTGAAATTCAGACAACAGAAGGATTCAATTGTACTTTAGAAGCAGAAGACTTCATGATGAAAATTCACTAATTCATGAGTTAGTAATATCACTCATATCTGCAACCATTCCCCAATCATGCAGCAAATATCAAAAAGCATTCCATTTGTTTGTGGACAGGGGGGTCTAGATTTGGGTAAAAATAATTACAGACCTAGATAAAACGAGGCTACTTGAGTTTATGTCACTGATATTCCAATTTCCCAGAATCGTCAAGGCTGAAAATGACCTTCAGCTAGGTCAAAGCACTTAGGGAAGCCTGGGTTCATATGAAAGAACGTTTCCAAGGATAGCTGCTGTTTCAAGATCATCTATGGCTTGTTGAGAGGAGCCGGCAATCCCTTCATTGTGAATATCTCTTGTGTAGTTCTATATTCTGACCAGACCTAATTCTGCTTACCTAAACACAGGCTGATGGGATCCGCACCCTGCAGGGAGTAACAGAAGCCAGGATTCGATTCAAGAAAGTACAGATGCTTAGCTTAAACAAAACAGCATCTATCTTATTTGAAAAATGGAGTGTGAAGTTTCTCATTAGATGGGCTTCTCCTTCCCTCTCTGCTTTTAATGGAAATACCAGTACATTTAATTCTCTTGTAAATGAAATAATTCTGAGAAAAATTTTCTCTGACAGATTTCAAAAGTATCATTATTGGTCTCAACTAGAGACCACTTGTAGTATTTGAGGTTCAGATTGAAGAAGAAGTTTGGATGAATGCTTTGAGTGGACAAAAGTTACATACATATAAATATCACCTACTTTTCTACTTCATACTCATGTTGGAAACTCCGCATCTATAAAAATTTTATATCATGTATCTTTCCAAGTCAACAGGCACCTGTTACGGTTATTGCTCTTTGGGGGAAAGGGGTACTCAGTGACATTTTGTGCAACCATTTCAATGTAATCATAGTGACATGTTAAAATTCCTACACACCATCAGTTACAGAGTCAGCACATCAGGAGAAGACATTTAAGTTCCTTTCATTTAAAAGGCTGTGTAACAACTAGTTCCATTCATTGACTCTTAACGTTCCTGGGTTGGGCAAAAAATGGCTAAGGGATTGAATAAGTTTGAGAAAACAGCATGAGGAATGCAGATAACTTTCAAAGTACATTTAAGATACTTCACCCACTTGAAGCAAGAAAGGGCTCAACGGAAAGAACTCTATCCCTGTTTTTACACTGTACTCTATGTATTCTTCTCTTCTCTGCTGGTCCTACTCAAGTTTTGCCAGATATTTAACTGGAAACTCTCTTAGACACATTAAGTGCTTCCCTTGCACTTCAAAGCTTTAGTTGATAGACCTTTCAAGGTATGAGTGTCTAGTAAAGCAAGACCTTCAAGACTCTGCCTTGTGGCCAGGCTAGAGGCTGAGCCTTTTGAGGGGCTCCTTACCTGGGAGACTGTGATGCCACACTTCTTGGCTAACTCCTCTTTGGCTTCCTCACTGGGGTAAGGGTTGCTGAGATGGGAATAGAAATATTCATTCAGGATTTCCGTCGCTTGCTTGTTGAAATTCCGTCTCTTCCGCCTTCATAAAGAGAAAGGAAACAACAACAAAACAGTTCACACCGAATAAATATAAAAAGGGAGTGAATAGGATCGACTTCTGAGACAAATGTGTGAGTAAAAGGTAAACTAGAGGAGCTCTGCAAAAAACGGGCTGGATACCAAAGCTATCACTGAAATCATTTGTTCAATACTTCATTGTGTACCATCTGGGCATCGACGAGAAGAATGGTAACAGATATTTTTACTGAGTGGTAAAGAGCATGGCATTTTAAAATTCAGGTCATTCTGATTTTGAATCCTGGATCAATCAGATATAAACTGGGTGATTCTGATTGCTTCTCTAAGCCTCAACTTCTTCCACTGAAAGTGAAGAGAGTCATACTTACCTCACAGGGTGGCAGTTAAGGGAGAAGGAGGCCACGCACAGATAGCACTCAGCACAGTGCCTGTCACGTGGCAGATGCTAGGACTTAGTGGTGACAGTTTCTTCCTACCAGGTTCCAGGTATTGGGCCTTACCCCTCATAGCAATCAATCCAGGTTGTTCATTTTCCACAACTAGTGAGGTCAAAAATGGTTATTCCTACTTACCGACGGAGAACTGAGTTCAACGGTCCCTCAGCTGGCATGTTACAGAGCCAGGATACTAATTCAGGTCTGCTCTACTACAAAACCCTTTCTTCTCATTCTTCCATACAAACTGGCTCCTGGCAATTACACAGAGCCTCTGTAGCCATAAGTTAAAAATAAGTTATCATTTTCTTTCTGTTCTATCCCCATGTAAATGCATGCAACATTTTTCAACGGCATCTGGGGAAACGGGGATGGAATTGACTGAAATTAGCCCCCTGACGGCTTGACCTTCCTCAAAAGGAGAGAAGTGGCACTTCTTAAACAAGAACAGCTGCTAAATGGTAAAACAAAAGCCCACAGAAATCTTTTTCATATACAGGTTTCCAAAAGAAAGAAAGCCACTTTTTGAATAAAAGCATTTTTCTGCCTTAAAAAAAAGTACTAATTGAACTAATTTAAAGTGAGAATCACTTTATTGCTTCCTTACAGCAAAGAAAGGCCCGTGGATGGTTGGTTGGCCTTCCTTGAAGTGATGGGCCTTCATCTTTAAATTAGCTCTCTTAGCACTTTTTCCTTCCTTGCTTTTATTAAAAGTGTTTCCTTATGGAAAAGATTTCCAGAACATCTCTGATTATGCCAGGATATAGGATTTCCCAATTTAGCCAACAAAAAGCACTGATGGCCTTTCTAGACAGGAAATTCAGCTAATATTGTATTTTCAGGGTCCCTCTTGGATTAATTAAGACAATAAAGTGCCTGATTTTACCGGATGAACACCATCTGTCCACAGGTATTAACCACATCTGTCCAGAATATGCCAAGCCCAAGTCACTCTCCCAAATCACGCTGAGTTTCTGGGTCACTCAGCATCAGAAATTGTACAGATTGGATTAAAAAGCCCCCCCAAAAAGTAGGCATGTGGTAAAGGCTCTTGCATGATGGGAATTTGAGGAAGATAGCCAAGTGGCTAACAGTCTTTGGACTAGTTTCTAGATAACCTTTGGTTTGGCTTCTTCCCCCTTACCTAAAGAAGACTGTTATTTTAGGCCTGGGGAACTGGACCCCAAAGCCTCCCTAAGTGGGAGAGCCTCCCTTCGTTCACTCGGTTGTTTGCATTAGCATTACAGTGTATTTTTTGGGACTCTTCCAATTGAGCTCAAAGGAAGTCTCCCTGGAATGAGCCGGTGGTACGCGGATGGTGCAGACAGCTGTTCCTGGCTCATCTCTCCTTGCGATGTGCAAGCTTCCCTAGGTGGTCTCATCTACTCTGATGGACTCGCTTATCACCTCTTGCAGTAGCTGTCTCAATCTGGGGCCTTGGAAACCTACGATTGGGACTTTTCAGAATTTCAAGAAACCTAGTGAAGATAACACCTTTCGGACAAAAAGTTTGTTTGAGCTGAGACACTCGGTTTCTTTGCTTTGGCTTTAAGTGTCACCTGCTTGGTGAATTAATATTCGTGATTTGAGGCCAATCTGGAGCTTTGATAGCTGGGCATCTAGTTTTTCCATTTAAGAAATGTGAAAACTGATTCAATATTACTGAATAAATATGGTGTTTTAGGGAAAAAGAAATTGAATCATAGGGTTCATGGGAGAAATTTTTTAATGAAAGATTCATGACAGTGAGAGGTGCAGGCCTCCCAGACATCTATTCCTATCTACCGAATATGGCGTCTCTCACACTAATACCTCTCCTACGAGCCACTACCCCATTTACCACTGCATACTCCAGGTGCGTCAAATAAACCCTGTACTTCCAAAATTAGTATCACCTTTCCCCCGAATCATCTCCATCTTCTTTGGTACTCATGTTATTTAATGACACTGACATAGGCGTCATTCACTGTATTCGCTCATTAGTTCATTCACTCATTCTTTCAAATATTTGTGCACCTAGCCTGTGTCACAACATGGCAGCGATTCTCAGCTCCTCCTGCCTTCTCACTTCGTCAAATGACTGGCCCCAAGGCGGGTCCTGCCAGTTCCATCCTTTCAGATCTGTTCTTTTTGTTTTATTCTTGTTGCTGCTGCAGTTTGTGAAATGAGTTTAGAGGAGCCACTGCCTGTCATGCGATCGCATGATCCAAGAGTGCTTCCCGCGGTGAGCGGGAGGCTCCCTGGCTGTGCGGCCCAACTCGGTGGCCTCAGCCACATGTGGCTGTTGAGCAGCTGAAATATGGCTATGGTAACTGCAGAGCTAACTTTTCAAATTTTACTTCCTCGAACTTACTGTTCTTTTAATGACTTTGAATTGAAAATCAAATAGCCACACACCAGACTGTGCAACTCTGGATCTATGTATTCCAGAAACAGCCCTCAAGCAGCACTCCTGGAAGAAAAGCACAGCTCTAGGGACATCATCAAAAGCATAAAATGTCTTTGGAACTTCCTGATTTAGCCTACTCCATTATATACCATGTTTATCTTAAAACAGGAATATTTTCCTTGAAATGTTTGCACTGTGTTGCCCCCGTGTGGGGGGCACTAGCTTCAACAACAGCTCTTCACATGGTCTCTTCTCCAATTCGGCTCATCTTCAACAGACCCACTATAGGAATTTTTCTAAACTATAGATCTGATCATGTCATTCATCATATAAAATTTAATAATGATTAAGTAACAAAATATGTAACAATAGTAATAATAACAACATATAACACAGTAATGATCACTCTTATGATGGTTGACTTACAGTGTGAATACTATCTGCCAGACACTGCATGATGTTTGTTTTTCCGTATTATCTTATCTATTCTTGTTTACAGTAGGATTATCCCCATTTCACAGATAACAAACTGAGTCTTTGGGAGAATAAACCACTTAGCCAGGGTCGCAAAGGTCATCAGGGTTGTAGCCAGAATTAGAATCTGGTGCAGTTTTATGTGGTCATTTCCCACATTCCTTCCTTAAACAGCTCCAGGGTTTCCATAGGCTTCTGCCTATTTCTTAATAGGATCAATTCAACATCGTCACTGGTGCAGGTAAGGGTATTCAGTGGCTCTAAACCATCCCTAGGGCCTCATTTCCCCCAGCCCTACCCTCATTCTGCGCAGTTTCCTCTAGCCATACCAAGCGTGTCTGCATTCCCCGAAGACTTGTCGCTTTCATGCTCCTGCGCCCCCTCATACCACCCTGCATATTTCTCTCCCACAGCATTTGCCACAAGTTTCCAGATGTCTCCCCAACTACACAGCCAACTCCTCAACAGCAGGAGACATGTCTCACTCACATTTGTCACCCTCGTGTCTAATATACAGGAAGCATTCAAGTATGTCACGCTTGTTGAAGTCGAGTGACGTTGTTTTACTTTGCTCCTGTTATTCCTTCTATTTGGTCAACATCCTGATCCTTTGAGGTTCAGTATTGCCTTCCCCCTACCTGGTTCCTCCCTTTCAGTGTTGGTAGACGAATGGAATTAATGTGTAACAGGCAGTGTTACATGTAGTTGTGACAGTGTCTGTTTGCCCCATGAGATTGTGAGCTTGGTGAAACCAGGATCCACATTCCATGCATTCTTTTCATCTTCGTTACTCAACTTCGTTATTCCAATGGCTAATATAGCATCTGGCAGATACATGAAGCTCAGTTAGATAAATAAATAAGTCTAAATAAAGGACCAGTGTGACCAGACCTTTCTGGTTGTCCTTGCACTTTCTTGCCAAGGTCATTCCTCTTTGGTAATTCATTTTATGTAATCCCTTCCGTCAGGGCTAAGTGCAGAGGTGTACTTTTAATCACTTATGTTCCTATTATTATTTCTAGCAAAATGTTATAGGAAAGTTAAAATTCATGTCTGAAAATCATTTGGAGAGCTTATGGTTCTCTCTCTCTCTTAACTAAGAAAAAAAAATATTATTTACCGTCCTTACAATAAATTTACCAAGTGGTATGGCAGCATGCATGGTGCATAGCATCACGTGACAAATGCTGAATGAATGAATGGAATGTTTAAGGTAAACTTGCCTGATACAGTTAAGTCAACGTAAGGAAGAGAGAAAAGATATGGCCTGAGTGGGACAAATATGGGCTCAGATTAAGAGTGTGGTAGACAGAATCCTAGGATCCCAGACCCTGGTGTATACACCTTTCCCTTGAGTGGATGGGATAGTGACTATGATGGGATATTACACCTATGATGAGGTTATGAAACAATAAGATCACTAAATTAGTCAATGAAGAGGGAGATTTGATTAAAGCCTTAAGCAGAGTTTCTCCTGCTGGCCTTCAGGAAGAAAACAGGCAGCCAAGTTGTGAACTGCCTGTGGAGAAGGACGGCCTAGCGGAACGGAGTCCCTCAGTCTCACAATCACAAGGAAATGAACCCTGCCAACAACCAGAATAAACTTGGAAGGAGACCTGGAGCCTGAGATGAGATCACCACCTCAGTCTGCAGCTTGACTACAGCTTTGCTGGAACTTGAGCAGAGGGTCCTGCTAAGCTGTGTCCAGACCCCTGACCAACAGAAACTGTGAGATAATAAACTTGTGTTGTTTTAAGCTGCTCAATTCGTGATAATCTGCTACACAGCAATGGAACGCTAATACAATGAGTGTTCCACCACAAAGTAGCAACACTCAATTCTACATACCTCTTAGATTACAAAGACTAATCCTATTACTAAATCAAGTCCTCTTTGTATTTTATTTGTCTTCCATGAAATCTTTTTTTTTTTTTTTTATGAGTTGAGGCCCTTCCCATCAGAAGCATGGCTTGGAGTAGCATGTGAATATTGGCAGTGCGTGTGTCTTTCTTACTAAGGTTTGCTTAGCTATCTTTTCCAGTTACAGTTAATGACAATGGAAGCACTTATACGAATTCCTGGATCAGGAAGTCCAGTAAACATTTATTTCTGAGCTGGGAAAAGCCATTTGCTCAGCCTTGGGCTGGCATCTGGGGTTATGTTCTTCCACTGGTAATAAATATGTCCCCAAAGTTAAATGATAATGACAGGTTGGATGTGGTGGCTCATACCTGTAATCCCAGCACTTTGGGAGGCTGAGACAGGAAGGCTGCTTGAGCCTAGGAGTTTGAGACCAGCCTGGGAAACATAGTTTGTCTCTCCAAAAATTGTTTTAAAAAATTTAGCCAGGCATGGTGGCACATGCCTATAGTCCCAGCTACTCAGGAGGCTGAGGCAAAAGGATTATCTGAGCCCGGAGGGTGGAAGCTGCAGTAAGCCATGATTGTGCTATTGCACTCCAGCCTGGGCAACAAAGTGATACTCCAACTCAAAAAAACCAAAAACAAAAACAAAAACAAAAATGACAATTGCTTAGTTGTTTAAGTTTTGAATCTTGGAGCAGAGGCAATAATTCAAAGGTTGTAACCAAAGCAAGAAAAAGGCCTTGTCTTAAAGTGATTGTCCTTCTGGTGCCAACTGAAACAATCTAGGCAGAAGCTGGTAGAAGTGAAAAGAGCTGTATACAAAGCCTGCCTGGTTTTGTGTCTTTTAAAGTCTGACCTTCAACTAGGCACACTGCGAGAAGATTTCTAACGAGACAATGCTTCTGCTCCTCCCTTCTCTCTGATTTCTTTCTTGAAATGAGCCCAGTCTGGACCCGGCTTTTCTTTTTTTCAGTATGTGCCAACATAAATACCAACTCCAGCATTTTAACTAGGGGAGTTACCATGGGGATGTAAGCAACACATGCAGCATGGTGGCGGCTGTGGTGCAGAGGAAGGATCTAGATAGAGGCCACCAGTCACTTGCACTTCGCACCGTGCAGAACAAGCTGCATTCAAGAAGCCAGACTGGCAGCAGGCCACAGGGCGAGGGTCCTGCTTTAGGGTGAGACTGGCCATTCCCACTCCTTCACTATACCCAACTGGGAAAAGCCATCTTCATTTTTACTTTCTCTTGGCTTGTTCTATGGGATTCTATTGGCCCAGAGATGTATTTTGCTAGCTGGTATCCCCGTTTTGTTTTCCTTGCAATCCAAATCACAATGAAAAAAAGGGAGCTGTGAAGAGAAGAGGCCAGGGAGGTTTAAAGAGGTCTGGGGATTCCAAAGACCACAGTCGTGCAGAGAGAAAAAAATGCAGGTAGGAGAGTTGAAGAAAACATGATTGAAGGGGTGAACAAATTCAAGAGGAGCAGCAAATGTTTGCATCTGATTGAAAAGAGACAAAACTACAGATCATGATATGGTACAGACCCTGACAATTCTGATGCTCTAATAACAAAAAACATAGATTCGAATCATTTTCAGGAATTGAAATATGAATGATGATATCTGAACTCATAGATGACTCATTTAAGGCAAACTGTAGATCACAAAGCAAACCCACAGTCAGGAAATGTACTATACTTGTGAGATCAATTATAAAAATGTTCTTCTACAGTCCATGAAAAATATGATCATTGTAATATTATAGGCTCGATTACAGATGCTAAGAAGATCAAGGAATTCACATAAGTGAATAGAGTCTATAGAGTAGGGGAACCAAGAACTGACTACTCATCCTCTGTTTTTAGTTCTTGTCTCTTTTGAAGGATCTTTCTATCCACGCCTTTTTCAACTGAATGCTTGAAGATCAAAATAAGGGCATGAGCAGCAATGTCAGGCAGAAATCATCAAACTAGTGTGGCCCATTTCAGTCCACCTCTTTCCCCCTCTATGACCAGAGTACCATATCTTAATCACCTCTGTATTCCAAAAACTTAGCCCAGGGTATGGCACATGCACTCACTTATAAATATTTGTTGAACCAAACTGAGTTGCACTCTGCCTATCTGTAGTATGGAAAAGATCCCAATTGTCCAGCAAACAAATGACTTTTTGGAGAAAGTGTGTCATGGCAGCATACCAGCAAGAAGGCTGACGGTTGGTAGTTGCGAGACGAACCTGTAAGAAGGTACCCAGCGCTATGAAAACAAAAAAAATCCTGCCTTTCCTCTCGATGTAGCTGAGTTCTCCTTGCTGCTCACCCAGAGTGTGTGATAGTGGTGATAAAGTCACCTTCTCCAACCACATGACTCCCCGCGCTGTATGAAACCAATGGCCTTTCCCCTCTGGCAGCCCTCCGAGAACCTTCCTCAAGGCTACAATTTGGCCCAGAATTGAAGGGGTACAATGAGAGCCTTGAGAGAGGGCCAGCCGTGAACTCTGGCCCTGGATCAGTGACACCCCGGGAGGGCAGGGCCCGCCGCAAGCGTGACTCACCGTGCATCCAGAAATCGGGAACGCAGGATCATGACGGCCTCGCACGTGCTCTGCTTGAGCTGCATCTGGATGGAGCTGAACTTGCGGTGGATGATGCTGACCATCCGCTCGATCTCCTTCGGGGAGATGGGCCTGGTCCGGCTCTGCTCTCGCAGGAGATTCATCACATGGGTGGTGAACTCATTGCAGGCCTGGAATGGCGGGACAACAAACACCAGGCCATTGAGGGTCCAAGGCCTCAGCACGCACAAGGCCCTGACGTAAGGCTGGCTGGGTTTTTCCAGACACTTGTGCACACAGAGAAAGCTAGGATCATTTGTGGGATATCAGAAGGATAGAATACCATGAATGACTGGAAATCTCTTTTAGTCCCTGTAGCTCCAAGTTTGAGGCATAATGTTGATCTTTGCTATGGCAAAAAAAAATTGTTAAACTTCTTTTTCTTGGAGATTCTTTCAATGCATTTGCCCATTAAATAGTGGAGGATTTACAAGCTCACCTGCCCACATTGCTCTGAGTGTTCAGCAGTTTTGGACCAAGAATGGCATGACCCACGTGACCCACCTTCCCTATTCACCTAATCTCACCCCAAGTGACTGTTTTTGTTTCCCCAGATGACATAAATTCTCAAAGGCGAAAGTTTTGCCAATATGGAAGAGGTGAAAGAACAAAAATGGCAGAAGCACTAAAAGGCATCAAAATGGATGAGTTCAAATACTGTTTTGTGCAAACAGTGGAAAAAGCATCTCGATAGGTGTATTGCATCAAATGGAGAGTACTTTGAAGGTGGTTGAAGTTTAAACATGTAAGAATAAATACACAATGTTTGTAAATAAATTCTGTTTTGTGAGGGGTCTCCCCTTGTATCATGAACTTTCTGCCTTGCTCATTATCTCCGATAGAGGAGAGCTTCCAATGATTCAATTTTGGAAGCAAAAATAGCCAAAGGAATTTAACTGGATTCATTGAATTAAAGGCTTTGATAACTCTTCTGGGAGATTTCTCATCCAGAAGATATAAATATTTCTATTTCTAGTTTTATTTTATAAGAACTCCTACTGTGCTGGCCTTCAGAAGATCCACTATGTCGATAACAAAAAAGGAATCTGTCCCTGGGGGCCTCACTAAAACAGCATCAGAACATGATTTAGAAAAATACAGGAACTACCCCTGTAGGAATAAAACCTCCTGGGTTACAGACCAACATACCATCAGCTCTGGAGGTGGAGCTGGAGATCATATTTCCCTTCTTCTTTACAGTTGGGAAAATTATAGCCCAGGGAGGTGAAGGGACATTTCTAAAGGCATACAGCAAACAAGAAGAGGCAGAGGAAGGACCTGAACATTTCCCTAGTTCAGGTCAGGGTCTTTGGTCCTTTCGCAGAACCTCACCTTGCTCCTCTAGAAACTCCTGCCCTCTCTTTTAGTGACTATTATTTAGCATCCGTATCCTGGTTTCCTTAGCTGAGCCCACAACAAAACCTCTCTTCATAGATTCACTCACAGCAACACTGTAAAACGGTATTCGATTTGCAACAAAAAAGGCAAGATGATGCTTGGAGAGCTGAAGAACTAAGGAGTCAAAGATTTATCAACAGCAGAAACATGCTCATTACTGATAATGTTACATCGTTGTTGTTATACATGCCAATAGTGCAGTAACAATACCAATAGTATACATCTCCTGATTATTTAGCTAAGAAATCCTTTGAGGTTGGCTGACCAATGGCACACGGGCAGGTGCATCCACTAAGCTATATCTAAACTGGTGGGTGGGAGCCTGAGTTTTGACCCTGCCTCTGTGAATATTTGGGCAAATCCTTTCACCACTCACCTGAGGGTGGATTTAACCATTGCCAACCCTTCAACAAGGCTAACAGCACCCATGCTCTTTTGCTGTGACCTGTGGGTCCAGTACACTCCTCACATGAATGTAGCAGAGTGGCTGAGCACAACACAGACTGCTGGGTCCAGATTGGGACATGTTTGACTGTGGGATCTTCAAAACCACTTTACACATCTGTGTCTCATTTGGGAAATGGGGCTGACAATCCCCACCTCATAGGGTGGGAGATACTACATATGTGCCTGGCCCTACAAATGCATGTCATAACTACCTCTTCAAAAAACAGGTGACACAGAAATCCAATATACGTGGGTATGTTGATAATTGGGTAAACCTCTCCAGAGATCAGTTTCCCTTTTGGTCAATATAAAGGCAGTGATAAATATTTTCTTTCCTTTTGTGTGTGTGTGACAGAGGGGAGGGTTGGGGTCTCACTCCATCACCAAGGCTGGAGTGCAGTGGCATGACTACAGCTCACTGCAACATTGACCTCCTGGGCCCAGGCAATCCTTTTGCCTCGGCCTCCCGAGTAGCTGGGACTAAAGACGTGTGCCACCACACCTGGCTAATTTATTGACTTTTTGTAGAGATGGGGTCTCACTATGTTGCCCAGGTTGGTCTCAAACTCCTGGGCTCAAGCAATCCTCCCGCTTCGGACTCCCAAAGTGCTGAGGTTACAGGCATGAGACATCATGCCCAGGCACATAAATGCTTCTTTTCTACTCTGCAGACAGAAGCTGAAGACAAATCCATAGAAGATAGTTTCCATGCTCTCCACTTGAAAAAGTGCTACATAAACACAAGGTCTGGATTATAAACTTATTCTCCACCCAACTCCAGTTCCAGGAACTGTATAACAAGGAGAAGGAAATAAAACCCAGCAGCAAGTTGGCTGAGGCCACAGGATGGAGAGTGGAGGGCTAGACACCTAGCAAGCATCCCAGCCATCTTTCCAGGGAATCACAACCTCCCATGGGGCTGTAGCTCCCCCACCTCGCCTGGGCTCAAAGGGAGGAGGGGCTGGACAGGAGGAAGGACCATCAAGTGCACCAGCTCTCAGCTGGGAAGCCATGGTACTCAGTTAATAATGACGTGCTCCATTACAGTGAATAAAAATACTCACAATATCTGATGTTTATGCAGGGCATTTTTTTCCAGGGCCCTTACTGCTTTGGGATAAACAGTGAAGTTGTTTCACCCATTGCTGAGGTGGAGCAGAGCAGTTGCTACTCAGCTGCTTGGGAATGGTCAACAGAGAGCAGAGAAGAGTTCAAGTCCACATTAGATGGACAGAATATAAGGATCCAGATTTTTCCAGTACCAGAGCTACCCATACCTTTCCTCACATTCCCCAAGCTTTGCACTTTCAGAGGCAGCTGGGCTACTTCTGACAGGTCAGGCATTCACAGTGTGACAATAATGGAAATATTTGGGGTTACGACTTTTTTGGGGGGAGTAAAAAAGTCTCACTGTTGCCTAGGCTGGAGTGCAGTGGCATGAATACGGTAACCTGGTCCTCCTGGGCTCAGGTGATCCTTACGCCTCAGCTTCCTGAGTAGCTGGGACTACAGGCCATGTGCCACTTATCTTGGATAATTTTTTTAAAAAATCTTTTTGTAGAGACAAAGTCTATCTGTATTGTCCAGGCTGGTCTCAAACTCCTGGCCTCAAGCGATCTTCCCACCTTGGCCTCCCAAAGTATAGCCTGCCCCCTCACCCAGTTGCAACTGTTAATTAAATAAAATCCACGTGGGCTGAAGGTTTCTGTGCCAGAGATACTCTGCTGTTCACTGTCACAAAGAGAGTCACTTTCTGGAACTCAAGCTGCCCCCATAGGGTAAAAGGAGACTTTCTCCAGGTTCCAGGGCAGGAGTATTTCTAGGAGCAGAGAACTGAAGAGAAGCCCTTCAAAAATCTCACACAAGGTTGAAGCGTCCATCCTGCACTCTATATATCACATCTTCTTCCCTGACTTCTTCAAGGAGATGGACTACATTAAGATAAGGAGATGGACTCCATTGAAATATAGTCCAAGGATGAGACTAAATTTGCCTGCCAATGTCATCAATGAAAAAGTCACTGAATCTTAGGGTTCTGTGAACAAAATTAACACTGCCTAGTTCAGCATTAGCGATTTCATCCTGGCAACACCCCACTGGCATTATTTATAAAAGTTGAAGAACCCTGCAAAGCTACAAGAGGATCATTTTTTAAAATAGTGTTTGGAATAAAATTCATGTCTCTGACATTGTGGTTTTATCTATTAGAATATTCTAGCTCTTAAATACCTTAGCTACTAACATAATCTGCTGAAAAAGTGTTTTACCAATCCCATTTAATGAATAAAACAATTTTCTTCCTTTCTTTCTAATGAAAGTCTCTACAAGCCTTCTTTACTTAATAACCTCGGGGCAAAACAATGGCTGATTCAGGTAGGCATTTTAAAATTTTTTTCTTTGAGGGGGTAAGGAGAACTATGATACTAATTATTATGAGTTATCTACCACCATCATACCAAAACAAAACAACAGCATGACTATTACATAATCAACTTGGTAATTTCACATAGGTACTACTAAAATAGAGAGTGACGTTTTTACTTGATTGAGGTTTCCGATTTTAAAACAAAGGCCCCATGAGAAATTGTTACAGAGAAATGAAGATATATCTCTCAGACACACAGCTAGAAGGTTAATAGCATAATTTCCCTACAATCTGCTGTTTACTATAATTAACAACACAACTAATACTAATATATTATTAAGTATCCAGAGTATGTTAAGCAATATTCATTTCTTAACCATAAAATGCTCATATAAATAAGGAAATGATGTTTTTGTACTTTAAAAAATTGATAATAAGCCGGACTTGGCAGCTCAGCCTGTAATCCCGCACATTTGGGAGGCTGAGATGAGTGGATTGCCTGAGCCTGCGGGTTCGAGACCCGCCTGGGCAGCAAGACCTCATCTCTACAATAAAAACAAAAAATCAGCCGGGCATGGTAGCGCATGCCTGTAATTCCGGCTACTTGGAAGGCTGAGGCGCAAGGATCGCCGGAGCCCAGCAGGTCGAGGCTGCAGTGACCGGGAGTGGCCACTGCACTCCAGTCTAGGTGACAGAGTGAGACTCCAACTCAAAAAAAAAAAAATTGATAATATGGATGCTCCAATGACTATACTTAAATTTGCTGTGAACTGATGGATTAGGTTAGAAGGTTTTGAAAACTAGCTTATTCTTAACTCAGGTTGCCAGCACCATCGAGGAGCTGTTTAAACCTTCTTGTCTTCATCTGAAATGAGTAAAAACTCCAACAGCAACTGTACATTTCAGTAGGGTGTTTCCAAGTATGAAATACTTTGGCCTACATAACTGCCCTTCCTTCAGGTCCTTTTTTCTGAAAGTTGCCAATTTTCAACACCTTAATTATTTAGAATAGGTGGGTACCCAAGAAAAGTTTCAGAAGTCAATATTTTTGTCATTAGCTTCACTTAGGTGTCAGCAATATAGTCCAGGGAAGTCAGAGTGGAGTCAAGCACTGTTCTAATAAGAGCCCTGGGAAAAGAGCAAACTCTGTCCCTCACTGGATGACCTCAGAGACATCTTAACCTCTTTGATCTCCGTGTCCTACCTGTATCAAAATGGAGATGATGCCAGGACCTGTCCTGGGTGCCCAACCTCAAAACTGCTTTGAGGAGGAAGGGCAGTTATGTAGGCCAAAGTATTTCATAATTGGGAACACCCTACTGAAATGTACAATTGCTGTTGGAGTTTTTACTCATTTCGGATGAAGACAAGAAGGTTTAAACAGCTCCTCGATGGTGCTGGCAACCTGAGCTAAGAATAAGCTAGTTTTCAATACCTTCCAACCTAATATCATTCCAGTTATGGGTTCAGTGGAGGAAGCCACATTCTGGGCTCACCTTGTATCCTGCTGCCTGTCATGAGTTACCTTGGAGGATGGGTCTTGGATGGGTTGCTATGGCAGAGGCCAGGCTGACTGGTAAAGGTGATTAGGAAGAACCCAAGAGGCCAGCAAGAGATCTTTATAGGAAATGCTCCCATTGGCCTTCCAAAGCTAGCCCATGAGTTCAGGGCAGGCTCCAAATTCTAATACAATGGTCAAGGTAGAGAAGCTGCCACGGTGCAGCCAGCCATCTCAGCTCAGCATATCATGTGATTTGGGGAGGCGTCTACATAAGCCAACACTATGGCAGGAACATTAGTTCTTTCCCAAGAAGGCGAAGGATGATGACTCACAGGTCCCCCCAGAGCTCGCTTTGAATTCCCTCCCCTTCACCCACCCTACACCTTGTGTGATGATTGGATTTCACTGGGCTTGGCTTCAAATTTCACAGCAATTTTTTTTTCCATATTAAGAGAAGATTTTGTAGAAATTCATTCCAAAAGGAGATAGGAGTGCAATAATGAAACTTTCTTCACTTTAAATTTTAAAATGCCTATTTCTGTTTTAAAATTTAAATTTTCTATTAAGTGTGCATTTGCCTTCTACCTGGACAGTCAGAATGGACTGTAGACGGTGACCTGCCTGTTGCCTTTCCCCCTTCTTCTATTTTGGCTCTTTAAAAAAAAAAAAACAACAACAACGG